TCTTTTTTGACAGTTATATAGTTTTAAATGATTAAAGGTTGCGTATTGCACAAGAAGTTCAAAGGAAATTGGAAGAATTGGATGTTAAGCTGAAAACTTTAGAAGCTGAAGGTGTCGAAGTAGAAAAAAAGCTTAGAGGAGAAGGTAAAAAAAAATAGCTATTAAACTAAATATTTGTAATTATACAATAAAAAATATTAGTAAGATTGGTATTTTATATGTTTTTGGGTTCTGAATAGAGAAACTAAGTTATTGTTTATTAATTAATTTTATAAAACTAATGATATGTTTTCTATTTTAGTTAGCATTTAAAGAAAGCTAAAAAATGCATGCAGTACCTACCTATATTGTACAATTTTACTCAATAATTTATATTAATTAATTTAATTTTTCAAAAGTATGAGCACCAATAAAATATATACTAAATACAACTAATATAACCACCTTAAATGACAATAAAATAAATGCTAACCTATCTAATTATCAAACTATTCTTTAATTTAGGAAGTGAAAAAAATGAAGATGAACCATCTCTTTTGCATACTTATTGTGAACTGATGAGTGAAGTGAATCGGTTGCGAAGAGAAGAACGTGAATTAGGATTACAGGCACAAGAGTTAGAAATGGAAGATAATCTAGCAAGATGTGAAACAATCAGTGCCAATGGTAATTATAAATTAAAATTACTTGTGTTTAATGCGTTTTGATATTTTATTATTATAGAATGGTGTTTTTAAAAGATTTTGATCTAGCATAATTTTATAAAATTACAGAGTTTGGCTCTGATTTCAATTGTTTGGCCAGCATTCACCGCACAAACCATATTCTTACTAAATTATTTCCCATATATGTCTTAATAGTATTCTATTATTTCAATTTATTTACTTCCTAAGTCACTTAATATTTCAGTAATCTAACTATATATAATATTTATTAACTATAATCAACATTTTCTATTTGCTATAGTAGTATACTAATGCTATTGATGGTAACTATTTAAAATACCTCAACAAAAATTGTATTCGCTTCAAGAAGAATTCATATTTATTTTATCTGAATTAAAACAAATGTTAAATTTGAATATTATCTTAGCTCATCTTATCTGCCCATTAACTACTATGGTATAATATTTAAATCAAATTAATTAAATAATAATATAATGTTTAATACCTTCTATTATTTTGTATATGTACGTCTTCTATGTCATATTAAAGCCAATTTATCACGAGGTCTAGACATGATTTCATTTTTAACATTATCAATTTAAACATCTAGAATATAACTAGACAATAAAAAATTAATTATTAGCCATATTGCACTTTTTATATTTGTACATCATGTATGGAAATCAAAAAGTTAGTATGCTTGTTGAGTGTACTCCTACTTCTGTCCAATATTTTAGATTATTAAGTATATAGGCCACAGTATAATTAGTAAATATTATACTTTAGTTTCTAACAAAAAATATTAAATTTAACAGCTCAATCCGCTAACCTATTAACTATTAACTATTTTTCAACTATTAATTACTTTAATTTAGAAATAATTTACTATAATTGTTATCATAACTTCCACTAGAACCAATATATTTGACTAAATTAACAAAATGTTTAATATTACCATATTATATATTCAATAGTAAAATATATTTTGTAAACTCAATATTCATAAATTAAGAATATTATTACTGAATTTAAAATTCACTCCTAGACATCAAATTTAATTTATGATTCCTATTTTTATTCTTCAAAACTTATTCATTCTTATGTTGGATTTTTAATCATTGTTTATTTCAAAATTTGTATGAATTATGAAGATCTCATTGTTTGTCAGAAATACTGTATTTAGAATTGTTCATTTATCAATAATATGCTTAAAACTATTTATAAATGTACAGTTTATTTGTATGATGGCGGTTGTTGTTAAATTTTTTCCCTTACAAATAATTTTACTTGGCTGTTATTTGTTTCAAGAACAGAATTTGATTTTTTTTTTTCAATGGTTGATATATAAGAAAGTCTTCTGTTTGAATGCATGGGCTTAAATAAAACGCATTCAAGGTGAAAGGTGTTTAAATTTTTATGTATGCTTTTTGAAAGATATATTAACATAAACTAAATACATTCCAGTTATTTTAATTATACCTATAGTCAAATATTGTCAAAGAAAAGATATGTGATGACAATTCTTTTTTGAGTACCTATTACATACATAAATTAATAATTTAATGTACAATTTTAGAATATTATAATTATGCTTAAATTGTATGTTTAGTTAAAAATATAATTCTCTACAACAATATAATGAAACCAAAATATTCATGCAAATTAATAATTTTCTTTACTATTAGATTAAAAATATTAGTTGAAACATGACGATAATTTTTGGGCGATGGTCAGAATTATAGGATATCACTCTAGAGCAAGAGACACAAGATAAGCATTTTATGGTTCTGATCTTAGCTTAAAGTTTTACCACTAAGTAGTTCTTAACTTGGGTCTTTAAATAACTCATAATTACTTATTGTTTGATTAATTAAGAGTTTAAGATTTTATTACAGATTGTGAAATATATTTTAAACAATACAAAAAAATAGGCCTTATAATTTAACTACTAGTAGAGATAAGTTCAGTGTAAAATTAAGATTATTAAAAAAACAAAATTATTTTTATATATACAGTGAAACCTCCCCTAAATGATACCTTCTAATATTGGACGTCTTCTAAGGAACCAAACTTACTACGGTCTCTGAAACTTCCGAATAGCAGTGACCTCTGAAAAACGGACAACATTTTGGTGACTGAGAATGTCTGGTATTTAGAGGTTTCACTGTATACATAATAATATATCCTACAATTGTATTTAAACACATAACATTCAAACAGGTGTACCTCACCTGATGGTATGGTATGGTTTTGTGGCATGTATGTATATCATAGAGTAGTGTAAATATTTGTTTTTAAAATTAAAAAACTTAAAACATTCTGATCCTCAAAACGTCCATGGTAACCAACAAACCAACTGACTTAAATATACAACTCTATGTACATCAAACAGTTTATATGGTAAGCTAATGTCATTTTTATGTTAACAAAATCAACATTTCAATATGTAATTTGTGTTATCAATTTGTTATAGGACATACATTAATGACCGTAATTATATGTTATGTATACATTTCTATTGATAATTTTGATCCTTAAATGAATGGCACTTATGTTTTATTTATATACCGTATGGTAACTTAAAATACTTATTTTGATATTATTACTATTATCAACTTTAAAAATTTAATTTGGTTAAAACAGGGCTTACATTAAAAAAAAATTGTTAAACAATATTTATTATTTATGTTTGTTCATGTCAATATATTAAATTATGGGACTAGTTTAAATTTACAAATGGTAATTTTTATTTTTTTTATAATTTAACCCTTAATTGATATAATGAATTATTTCTACTTAATAATGTATGTATCATTAACTAAGAATGAAATCAGAAGTAGAAATTATAACAAAAAACATTTTGATAATACTTTTATTTAAGTACTTTTTAGTATCTAAATTCAACTTTTGTAATCAATTTTCCTAATTTCTACAAATTTGTTTATAATTAATGTATTTCGGTTTTGTAAATAATATTTTCTTATATTATAATACCTGATGGTGTAGTTTATCTATTGATATTCTATTTGTTTTTTTTTTTACATATTTTTAATTTTAATATACTTGTCCGTTATATACATGATCATTATGTTATGTCTCTTGAATTAAGATTTTAAGTCCTAATTGAAAAATAATTGCATATTAGTAGGTTAAGTTAGAAATTAGTATTATCAGTAATATTGCTGTAAGCAATAAGGTAAAATGCATGAAAATCATACACAGTGTACAGTTTTTGTTTTTTATGTTTTTTTTTATTATTTATCCGTTCTGAAATTAAAAAATGTACTGTTTTTAGAGCTATTACCATTCATATTAGTAATCATACTGTACTTAAAATATTAATACATCCTTTTACAAGCTAATGATTAAAAACCTAATATTTTATCATAACAATGATACAATGATTGTTGTATAGTTTAAAATTTATTTTAAATTCATATTAAACATTTAATCGTCCACTTTATTATTTATTGATCCAAATTTTTTTTTTTACAGACAATGATTGGAACAAATTGTCAACAGCTCATTAGTTATAATTACTAAGATATTTACAGATAATACTTGTACATTTCTGGTTAGAACATCGACAGAATCCCTACTAACAGGAACTTATAGCTCATATATTATTTAAGTTTATTTATGGAACAAATAATCATATTATATTTATTTTTATACTTGTTTTCTTCTTTTGTTTATATTATAAGTAAGCTAAAGTGTGATAGTTTTATTTTAATCAACGAGTCAAAGCTTTAACCCAGTATATGAAGTTACTTAAGTTTTAAAATCCTAAGCCAAAGCTAACAATTTGTTTAATATAATTCATACAATATTGATTTTGTATAATCTGTGATATAATGTTTAGATGTATGACTCAATTGGGCCTTATATTTTAATTTTTAATATAAATATTATAATATATTTTGAAAATTAACTTTTCAGATTTTTTAACACTACTTATCTTATTTTTTTGACATTCATATTATATTATATTATTTAATTATTATTTTTAACATTCATAATATTCTCTAATTATTATTAATATGTTAGTTTTATTATTTTTAAGCATAAAAATAAATTAAAATATTTTTTGAACACTATTAATAATAAAACTTTTATTTTATTATAAATTAGTTAAATAAAAATAAATATATATATATATATATTATATATATTATAATATTATAAAAAAGCAATATAGTATTTTCAGAAAAAAAAGTTTATATAATATACAGTACATATTATGTCATATATGTAATATAATAGTAATAGCATGATAAAGCTGTTAAATCATAATTTACAAACAGTCATAATAAAAATTAATTTTGCTGTATTTTATTTATTTTTATTATCTGGTTTAGTCATCACCTTTGAGATATGATTCAAGTGGATTAGGGCCTCTTCTTTTAGCAATTATTGTTGTGTTGGACTCTGAAAATAAATAAGAATTTTTCAAGTATTTGTTTTGATTTAATTTATCAAAAAATGTACCATTAGGTTGTGTTTGAGTCTGAACATGGTTAATATTTAAACAGTTCAACCATTCTGTAAACCCAATTTTATTATCACGATTGACATCACAATGTCGAGGCAGTTTTTTTCCACATCTTTTTAGTTTGTTGTTGACTGACATTTCTTCCCGAAAACTCTTCCATTCTTTGCGTTCCAACACCTTTTATTTTCAACAGTGATAGATTTAAGTGTTAGTATTACTGAATTCAGAATTCTTATGTATTTTCTGTTGATGTTCACTTACTTTATTGTGATTTGTATCCAAAGAATGAAAAATGTCTGAAATTATTGATTCATAATCACTAGAAAATGATGCGTTATTGTTTTTACTGCAATAATTATAAATTCATAATAAGCAGAATATTAGTACAATTATGTCTCAGTCACAAAATGTAATGTTATTTGTGTACAATAAACCTGTGTTTTTTTCTGAGGTAATCCATGAGATCTTTTAAAAAAATATGTTTTTTATGCTCAGGGCAGCCTTTCATTGGCCGGGAAAGTAAAGGAACACCATCACATTTAGGATTAGAATCTTTCACCGAAGTTCCTGGTATTGGTTTTCCAGTGTCTTCTTGTGTGCACCAACAATAACCTGAGTTAAAATCAATTCCCATCAATAATAAAATTCAATTTTTTATATTCTGATTATCCTATTGAGCTTTATAATTGAACACACCAACTGATTTGTAACACTGGACACTTTTATATCTTCCATCTGTTGTACATTCTGGAATGTACTTGTGAGATGAAGACGATGGATCGTCCAATGCTTCCTGTCTGTCCGTTAAACAATCATTAACTGAAAAACAAATTTAATATCAGCATAAAAATAAATTAAAAATGTATGTAGGCTTAGTGATGTTTAAAACTTTAAACTTCCCGTGGATTTACCTTATCTTAATCACCATTAAAAGTCATATTAAATACGGGTCTAATATTAAATTCAATCATAATTATTAATAGGTAGGTAACTATTTTTTTTCGTATTTTTAGCTTTGCATAGATGAAACAATTTTTAAAATCGTTACCTAATAAGTAATAACCAATTGCTAATTTCATCTTCATTATAAAGTATTTGGACCTCTCCCCCCCCCCCCCCCC